GAAATTACTCCTTTTAGCCAATTTGACTTAGTTCTACTATCCATGCCAATAACTGGTACATTAGTTTAAATAACCCTTTAATTTCCCAGACCAAATTTGTAATTATCCTTACTGTCAACCATACAATTCTTGTAATGTTAGTACAGAGAATTCAGTATTGCATCAACTAACTATTTTCAAATTGATATATTTTTTTTACTCTCAACACTTATCTGATTGATATTGTATTGCTATTGTAAGGAGAAATTCTCTTTTGGTCACTCACGGGAGTTAAAGGGTTAGAAGACTAATATTCATCCAGTTTATACATAGTACTTGGGTAGATGATCTCTCTAAAACAAGCCAGAACAAAAAGCTCGGTAATGTTTACATATCTTATGCAGATTTTCTTGCCTTCGACCTTTTTCCACTACTTAGAGACTCGGAAACTTTCGTTGTGCTTTCCTATGGACAAATAAAAATTTTAAAGACATGTATTTGTGTTGTAGACTCATTTCTTCCACTGCTGTAAAACATTTGTCTGATGTTAAAGCTATATTAATTTAAAAATTGAGCAAGTGCTGCTCAGTTTTTGGAAACTAGGGATTAAATCTAGATATTTCGCGTTAAATTTTGAGGCTGCACACAGAAAAAACATTTTTTGAAGTGTAGATTTACTTCATAACTGACTTTAAGACTGAATGTTGATAAATCATCTACCTTTCATGCAAAGCCCTCCTAATGGGCCATTTTATAGTTGTGTACTTAGTTGCCAAGCCTTTGATTTGGAGTGAGGCTGAAGGTGACCTTGTTGTGATAGAGACCAGTATCTAGAAACGATAATAACAAAGTAGTTTGCATTTAAAAAGCAGCAATGTTTTTATCATAACAAGGTCACCCTTAATCATCGCTCTTGTTCAGAGGCTTGGGAACCAAGCACGCAAATGTTAAAATGGACTATTACATATCAATATGATCAGAAACATAATCTTTTTTGTTTTTTCCACATTTTTAACCCTTAACATAAAAAAGATTGACAAAAACAATAGGATCTTGTTGTCATTAAGACTTCAGTCTGTCAGTGAAGTGGGAGATAAGTCCATGGAGGAAAAAGATCCTATTAGTCATGACCACGGTAGTGCAAGTTCAGGTGATGTCAAGAAAGTCATAGATCTCTATAATCGGGGAGAAGAAGCCATAGAGTACCTCAACCTATATCTTAAAATAGCTAAAGAAGTAGGAGACAAGCATGGGGAGGGTAACGCTTATGGCAATCTTGGCAATGCTTATCACCGTCTGGGTGATTTCAAAAAAGCCATAGAGTACCACAACCTACATCTTAAAATAGCTAAAGAAGTAGGAGACAAGCATGGGGAGGGTGGTGCTTATGGCAATCTTGGCAATGCTTATCACCGTCTGGGTGATTTCAAAAAAGCCATAGAGTACCACAACCTACATCTTAAAATAGCTAAAGAAGTAGGAGACAAGCATGGGGAGGGTGGTGCTTATGGCAATCTTGGCAATGCTTATCTCCGTCTGGGTGATTTCAAAAAAGCCATAGAGTACCACAACCTACATCTTAAAATAGCTAAAGAAGTAGGAGACAAGCATGGGGAGGGTGCTTATGGCAATCTTGGCAATGCTTATTTTAGTCTGGGTGATTTCAAAAAAGCCATAGAGTACCACAACCTACATCTTAAAATAGCTAAAGAAGTAGGAGACAAGCATGGGGAGGGTGGTGCTTATGGCAATCTTGGCAATGCTTATCACCGTCTGGGTGATTTCAAAAAAGCCATAGAGTACCACAACCTACATCTTAAAATAGCTAAAGAAGTAGGAGACAAGCATGGGGAGGGTGGTGCTTATGGCAATCTTGGCAATGCTTATTACCGTCTGGGTGATTTCAAAAAAGCCATAGAGTACCACAACCTACATCTTAAAATAGCTAAAGAAGTAGGAGACAAGCATGGGGAGGGTGGTGCTTATGGCAATCTTGGCAATGCTTATTTTAGTCTGGGTGATTTCAAAAAAGCCATAGAGTACCACAACCTACATCTTAAAATAGCTAAAGAAGTAGGAGACAAGCATGGGGAGGCGGTGCTTATGGCAATCTTGGCAAGGCAATGCTTATGACAGTCTGGGTGATTTCAAAAAAGCCATAGAGTACCACAACCTACATCTTAAAATAGCTAAAGAAGTAGGAGACAAGCATGGGGAGGGTAAGGCTTATGGCAATCTTGGCAATGCTTATCACCGTCTGGGTGATTTCAAAAAAGCCATAGAGTACCACAACCTACATCTTAAAATAGCTAAAGAAGTAGGAGACAAGCATGGGGAGGGTGGTGCTTATGGCAATCTTGGCAATGCTTATTTTAGTCTGGGTGATTTCAAAAAAGCCATAGAGTACCACAACCTACATCTTAAAATAGCTAAAGAAGTAGGAGACAAGCATGGGGAGGGTGGTGCTTATGGCAATCTTGGCAATGCTTATTACAGTCTGGGTGATTTCAAAAAAGCCATAGAGTACCACAACCTACATCTTAAAATAGCTAAAGAAGTAGGAGACAAGCATGGGGAGGGCGGTGCTTATGGCAATCTTGGCAATGCTTATGGCCGTCTGGGTGATTTCAAAAAAGCCATAGAGTACCACAACCTACATCTTAAAATAGCTAAAGAAGTAGGAGACAAGCATGGGGAGGGTGGTGCTTATGGCAATCTTGGCAATGCTTATGATCGTCTGGGTGATTTCAAAAAAGCCATAGAGTACCACAACCTACATCTTAAAATAGCTAAAGAAGTAGGAGACAAGCATGGGGAGGGTAAAGCTTATGGCAATCTTGGCAATGCTTATCACAGTCTGGGTGATTTCAAAAAAGCCATAGAGTACCACAACCTACATCTTAAAATAGCTAAAGAAGTAGGAGACAAGCATGGGGAGGGTGTTGCTTATGGCAATCTTGGCAATGCTTATGACAGTCTGGGTGATTTCAAAAAAGCCATAGAGTACCACAACCTACATCTTAAAATAGCTAAAGAAGTAGGAGACAAGCATGGGGAGGGTAGTGCTTATGGCAATCTTGGCAATGCTTATCACAGTCTGGGTGATTTCAAAAAAGCCATAGAGTACCACAACCTACATCTTAAAATAGCTAAAGAAGTAGGAGACAAGCATGGGGAGGGTGGTGCTTATGGCAATCTTGGCAATGCTTATGGCCGTCTGGGTGATTTCAAAAAAGCCATAGAGTACCACAACCTACATCTTAAAATAGCTAAAGAAGTAGGAGACAAGCATGGGGAGGGTGTTGCTTATGGCAATCTTGGCAATGCTTATTTTAGTCTGGGTGATTTAAAAAAAGCCATAGAGTACCACAACCTAGATCTTAAAATAGCTAAAGAAGTAGGAGACAAATCCTTGGAGGCAATGGCCTACTGTTCATTAGGATGCGTTTTTGAGTTGCAAGGTGGACTGCCAAAAGCCGTTGAACATTACCAAGCTAGCATAAACTTATTCAATTCCTTGAGAGTACTTCTAAAATCTAAAGATGAGTGGAAAGTTAATTTTCGAAATCAGCATCAAATGGCGTATACGGGTTTGTGGAGAGTTCTCGTAGAACAAGGTAATGTAGATGAAGCCTTATTTGTTGCTGAGAAAGGACGAGCTCAAGCTCTGACCGACCTCATGGAATCCAGTTTTTGTGGTGGAACAAGTCACCACAAGGGAGAAGATGAAGATTGCGCAGTTTTAAAAAACGTTCCATCAAACACTGTCTTTCAGGCAGTGGACAAAGCTAACGTCAATCTTTGGGTTGTGTCCGAAGGAAAACAAGTTCAGTTAAGACAAAGTAAACTCAAAGGTTTTGTTTCAGAGAATAGTGGATCTAGCCAGTCCTTTGAGTCGTTCATGCTCGGTGTCTATACACAACTTGGTGTTCGTTCTAATGTGAGATGCGAGAATCGATCTTTAGATGCTTTGAGGGAGGGCCGTTCAAAAGTGGATGAGAAAACCAAAGAAGCCAACCCTCAACCTCACATCCAACAAGACGGATGCTTGAGCACTTTGTATGATATCGTTATGAAGCCGGTGGCTGACTTGATTGAAGGGGATGAGCTACTCATTATTCCTGATGGACCCCTGTGGATCGCTCCTTACGCTGCATTGAAGGATGGTAATTCTAAATACCTGTGTGAATCGTTCACAATCCGAGTCGCTCCATCGTTAGCAAGTCTTAGACTCATTGCCGATTGCCCAGATGATTATCACAAAAGCAGTGGTGCGTTACTTGTAGGAGATCCGTGGGTATCCGAGGTTACTAACAGCGAGGGAGAGAAAGTCCTCGAGCAGCTTCCGTGTGCTAAAGAAGAAGTAGAAATGATCGGAAAAATTCTGAATATCACGCCAATCACTGGCAGACAGGCCACGAAACGTGAGGTGTTGAAAAGACTCAGTTCCGTTTCCTTAGTTCACTTTGCGGCACACGGATGTCCGGAAACTGGCGAAATTGCTCTTACACCTGACCTAGACCGAATATCTACTGTGCCAACGGAGAAGGAGGATTACATTTTAACGATTCGAGATGTGTTGAATGTTCAACTTCGCGCCAAACTTGTTGTGCTCAGTTGCTGCCACAGTGGTCGGGGCGAGATCAAGGCTGAAGGTGTGGTTGGCATTGCGCGCGCTTTTATGGGGGCTGGTGCTCGGTCTGTTGTGGTGTCCCTGTGGGCGATTGATGACGAGGCTACTCTCGAGTTCATGAAATGCTTTTATCAACACCTTGCAGAAGGTAAACCTACAAGCAAGTCACTGAACCTGGCCATGAAAAGCCTCAGAGAATCAGATAAGTTCCGGGACATCAAATACTGGGCGCCCTTTATGCTGATTGGAGATGACCTCACTTTTGACTTGATGGCAAAGGAAAGAGAAAATTTGAATAGAAAATCAAATAAATGAGAAAAATTTTTTTCTCATCTCAAAAGAATGACGTAGGAACTTGGAAGGTTTAAATGTTTCTCTATTTTAAACAATTTTTGGCTATTTTTCTTTACTTTTTACTTTTTTGTTAAATGGAACTTGAGATGTGTAACTTTACTTTGGTGAAGAAATAAAAGCAGTCTATTTCATTATATTTTGATCAGTGGAATTGTCTTTTTTTGTTACCTTAAATTTAGATGCTTGAGAAGAGAACGAAATGCAACAAGGCCTCTGTTATGAACGAGGTTTCCATTTCCACCAACATGTCACTCAGCTCTGTTCCTGTATTACAATCAGTTATATGGAAAAAATTTAAAGGTTATTTCTCTTACCCAACCAGGGGCTTTTCCACCGGATTTTAATTACCTTCATGCTCTAAGCTTTTGATAAGCAAAGAAACAATTCGTCATTTGCAAAAGTTGGCGAATTTTTATTTCCAAAACTTTTATTGAATATGTATGTCAATTGAATATGTGAATTGTTCTTAGACCGTTTTCTACATCATAAATTACTTTGTTACAATTTACCTTCATCTTTACAAAAAAATTGATTACCATTTTTTCAACTCAATCCATTTTAATGCAATCTAGTTCTGCCAGTGCCAAGATTGCCATTCTACGCTCAATTTGAAGTTAACATTAGAGATAATGTTATTAAATTTACTTACCATATGTTAGAGACATTACACCTACTTTTAGGGGTGTAGCCAGCCTCAAGTTCCGTAAGCCCGGCCTACAATTGTTTTCTGCCCGCTTGAATTTTACTAAAAGATAATATGACTCTTGCAAATGTTGAAACAAAAATTGAAATTTCTGAGGGAAGAGGCTTACAATTAGTCAAAAAGCTGGCTACAACCCTGTTTTCAATCAAACGAGTCTGGCCAATTTTGCCCGTTTTACCAAACACTTATCCGTTCGTTTTAAAGAACCACGACAGAGAGGCTAAAAATTGTCCATGTAATCTAAACTAGGAAAGAGGGCGCAGAGTTCACTATAATCAAAGTTTCCATAGGTGTGACTTTTATTGTATGTGACATGGAATTTGTTGCAGTCAACGTAAGCCATGTAGTCCTCAATGGGAATTATTTTGGTGAAAAGGCTCATTAATTAATGTAAACCTAGTGCGTAGTTGAAAAGGTTCAGGGCTTCAGGATAAAACTTCTAATTGTTGAAAATCACCTCTTCAAATTTTTTTCATTGCTTTAAATTTACCTCAGCTTAGTTTGAAGATGTCTGATAATATCTTTGTCAGGTTTAAGAATTTATAGTTTGGTATTTAGAGCACACTTTGTAGTTAGAACCCGTTATGTGGTCAAACGTTTTAAGATATACTGTATCACTGTTGTTTTAGAAGAAAGCTTTGTAAAATCAATCTTAGTTTTGCAGATTATTGTAACTACCATTGGTAAATACTGGTATAAAATGTAATAGTTAACCTCACACTTGGTTAAATATAATGTAACATAGGATTTTAAAGACATGCTGGGACAGTTTCAACTAAACATGGTTTGTATAATGTCAGTGTATTTCGTGTGAAGTGTTTTGATGGTTTTTTTTATTTTAAGTTGAAGATAATTGTTCATTTACCTCAGTTTATATTAATTAACTCATGAACGCCCAAGTTCTGAGGAAACATTCTCCCAGCTGATAAGAATGTGTTTCTCTATGCTGCCGCTTGTTCCGAGAATTCGACGAACATTACGTTTCTAGTAAAAGATTATCTTCCAGTTTGGATTTTCTCTAATTGTTATTGACACCATGTTTGTCGGTGTATTAATACTGTGAGGAGAATTTAAATGATGATCAGTCTTGGGAGTAAATGGGTTCATTTTAGTGTCTCCCTTTAGCGTGTATTTTACTTAATGCCTTGAACGATTTAATGCAGTTTCTATTGTGCTTATTTTTTTTACTTCTTTGTGTAAGAGAAATATAAAGTGTATAAAATACAAAAACTGCGTTGATTGACATTGTCTGTCTCCATATTCTTAGGATGCACGTAAGATATAGAGAAAGCAGATCCTATGGGGACTTCAATGCTTGTTTTGACCCGCGCGCTGAGTTGATAATGTGTGCAGCTAACAGTTTACTAACTTTCCATGTTTCAAGCCCCCGCCCACTTTACAAAAGCGCGTCATCTCTTCGATTGTATCTCTTTCACTGTCTATCGTTCTCCTTATTGCCACACGGTTTTGAACGCCGATGGACATGGATGGAAACTGTGAGCTTCAAGGAACAGATAATGTCCAAGGACAAATATCCGTACATATTTTCGCGCAAAAGAGAAGCTGTTGTGTTTTTTATCCTTTAAATATTTTGCAACGCACGTGAAAAATGTTAATGAACAGCTTACTTCGTTCAATTAATAAAAGAAATAATAAAGAGCGTTAGTCCTTCGTCAGAGCGATTGCAAAGGGCTAACGCTCGAAACGTGAGCTTTCAATTTACGTAATCAACTCAGATGATAAGTCTAACTTATCCTGAATTGAATTAAGTTTGAAACGAAGACTTATCGTGGTGGACGTAAGGTTTGCAAATTTGGGAATATCGCTTGTGTTATATAACCAATGCTTATTTCAAAGCAGTTCCGAATGTTTAAGCTTCCGGAAGCGAAAAGATATCTTAAATTCGACTGTTCTGTAGAGGAAATTTCATTCCTAATATACGTATTAGGTGTCAGGTTAGTTCTTAGGGGTGTGGGGTAGGGATAAAAAATGATCTGGTCAATTAGTGGGTACTAGGGGAGGGGAGTCAGATCAGACACAAATTACAAAGGAATTGGGTCGTATTCATGTTTTTGATCGCCTCTCTATTTTACGAGGGAAAGCAAATCGATTTGAGATTTAAATCTGATCGACTCCTAGCTGGAATGTTTTCTGAAGCCCCCCCTCCCCTCCCTTCCCTCCTCTATGAAAAGAGTAATGCTGAAGAGATATTCAGTTTTTTCGCCATGTCACAGTTTTAAAATTGAGTTGAGGACAACGTAATTAAGTGAGCTCAAGGTTAGGAACACCTTGTTAATTGCTGGCTAAAAAGAAATTGTTTACTTTTCATTTACTGTGTAAAAAAGAGTGAATTGAACACCGTCCGATAAAGAAATAAGACACAAATTGCATTGAATATAATCAGGAATGGGCTCCTGATACAATGAGGTTCACTAAGGTATATAGTCAGAGAAGTTATAGTAGCTGAAATATTCATTACTACTAGAGTAACAATTCAACTTTTTTGTAGACGAAGGGCAAATATACCTAGTAACTGACAGGAAATTTAACTACTTTTGTTTACTTTTTCACATCTAGACTTCGCATGAATACATGTATTTTCTCACGTTCTCTCAAAAATAAAAAGATCAGTTTGTTGATTCTGTATTAACACCCTGGTCTTTTGCATGGTCTTGAACTGCATCCAGCTACAGCCAGAGAGAAAACGAACGGATGTAATTCGCCGCGAAGAAAGGAAATCATATTGAACACGTAGGTGTATCCGGTAAGGACTTATTTTTCTTCAGGTTTCACCACAGTCAAACAAGTGATATTTTATCTCCTTCTATATGCTTTTAAAACCTAATTCGTGGGCTTATTAGCGACTGACCAAGCTAACAGATTCTTAAAAAGCGATTTACATGTTACGTGTCTTCCTCTTATCCGATCCTATTGGCTATCAACAAAAATACCAAATTAATCACGTGATTTTACCCCTATGAGGCAGACGCGATGGTGTAATGGTTAGTGCGCTGGACTCCGGGTCAAGAGGTCTGGGTTCGAAACCTGGCCAGGTCATTGTGTCCTGTTCTTTGTTTGTCGCTCGGGATTAAGAAATAATAGTAAAATAATAAAGTAAGATGAGATCGTAGCTATTCTGAGTCACTATGACTTGAGGTGGCAAAAGTCATCTATTTGTGACTATGTCATTACTTTAACGGAAGAGATCATTCTACTGTTTCAGGTTGAAAAAACAATAGTTTTCTGAGTTCAAAATCGTTCCCATACATCTTAATTTTTAGTTCAGTATGTCCTGAATTTGTACGGATACTTCAAGGAATGGCTAAAAAATTCCACAGTTGTCCCTCTCCTGCTTATTGGCCCTGCTCCTCCCCCTCAGTGGCCTGCAGGCGGAAGTAACTGGTATGGTTGAGACGAATGTCCTTGATAATCAACTGCAAACAGGACAAGTGGAGATGCCCACTCTTGTAGGTGCGGTAAAAGACAGTGGTGTCGTTGATGTTACACTCGAGGAAGGTGAACAGCAACAAGAAACCATTTCCAGGGAAGGTGAACTAATTGGTAAACACGAGATCGCTAAGATGTTTTGCGATCGTGGTAGTCAGACGAGACTGCGTTCACAATCTATCTCTAGGGACGCAGAAAGTTTGAATTCACATTTCTAATTCCAAGTGAGTAGAAAACGAGCGCAAATGTTTTAAAATAATTTTACAAAGCTATTGTTCATTGAACTGAGCTACGCTGACAGTCTCCTTCATAGGGGAAAGCAGTTTAAAACTTTAGCATGGAGGCTACGCATACTCTTCTCTGGGAACTAGGAAGGAGCGCCAAGAAAGACTTTTTTGTTGATTGATGTACGTCTTCACTAAACATTTTTTGCGGCTCGTGTCATATTAATTAATGTTCGCCTCTCCTTTTCAGATTTTCGTTATCAACGCATATATACCACCGTCAAAGGATTCTTTACAAAACGATTTAATCTAGCAGAGTATCTCTGTCTAATCCGAAGAGCTAATGATAATTCTATCACTCCAGAAGACTCAAACCCCTTAACTCCCAAGATCTGATTGTTAATTCTCCTCTCTCGCTGCTACACATTTCCTTTTAACGAACATTTCAATCAACTGATTTATGGATACGGTATTTCATTTTCGTCAAACACTTAAACGTTAGTTCATATGATCAAATTTCTTTCAAACAAAGAACACAAATCAAGAAGAGAACGGCTTTGTATGGAACATGAACTCGATAGACTGGTAAAACGTAAAATAATAATAAAAAATGTAAAAATAATAAAAATAAAGTATAGCTAATCAGATCGTATGGAAGTGAGAGAATAATGTCATGTGAAGCGCTCGAGAAGTATTTTAGTAATGTTAAGGTATTTGTATACGAAGTATGCTGAGTTTTTGGGAGATTTCTACTCCAAGCGCAGTCTATTAAGTATATTTTGGTTGCTTTTGGCCTCGCACCAGCGGCAGGCATTGTAATCAACAAAGTATGAATAAATGGGTTTAGTTTTTAAGGAAATTATGGTGCTGCGTCGGTGAGGGGTACAACAAGATAATTTGATTTTATAATCCAACTGCACAAGGTAGAGTTCAAATAACGCGAATATATGTATATACCACGTGTGTACAGTTGATAATTTGGAATGTAAAAAAACCTGTTTAACCGGCCGGCTGCGCACGCTGCGCTTCTCTATCCACTTTGCTTTTCCCGCCTTATGAGAAATGAGCAGAAAGTCTTGGCGGAAAAAAAAAGCAATCGGATCATAAATAACCTTGTAGACTATTCATTGGTGTGTAGTATTGCCTAGTATTTTCACTCCTTGTTTGAATTTGACGAGCCTTAGGGGGAAGTCAAAATACGGCACAGCTCATAAAAATACTCAAGTATGTCACCGCCAGATAAAGAAAATCCGAAAAAATCCGAAAAAATCCGAAAAAATCACCATAAATCTTATTTCGCAAGATGATCATCTCACAGCTGGAGCTTGGGCTGCCTGTGGTGTGAGTTCAGATAAATTAAGTTTTGTTTTTCTCTCAAGGTGAAGTAACGCGATATTTTCGTCCGTTTGAAAGTCATGCTCTTTTTCTGTAATCGAGAGTTGCAAAAATGAAAATATCATCTTTGGTACAAGCTTCACCTCGCAAGTAAAAACCTACAAAACAAACACTTAAAGTGTCCCATCTCCGGCGACTAGCGCGTTACCCATGCTACGCATACCGCGTTCTTTACAATAAATAGAATGTCATTGTTCTCTTGGATCAGAAAACAGTAGGTACACAAAGTCAACCCACCCATGCTACGCAACAAATAAATGATGTCATGGATCAGGGGGCTGTGAACAAAGAATGACATTAACCAGATACCTTGGGCTCATTTGATAAGTGTAGTGGTTTGTGGCCTTCACGAGAGCCTCGTTGATTAAGAATGAGATTTATCGGAACATGAAAGGTTCGCATTTCATTTTTTTTATTATCTTTAAGTCAAACGTGTTTTTACGGCTCCTTTACGCACAACGAACACGCCTAACAACTCACGTTCCATCACGTACCATAAAAACAACGTCCAAAGTCCATTAGAACACACCCAATCATTGCACTACATGAACATTAGTCAATTTTTTACGTGCTTGAATTGTATTCCACCAACCAAATTCACATCTACGCGCGCCCGTGTATTATTCACTATTTATGACTCATTTCCTCGGGAAAGTTCACAATGTATCATCAACTTTTGGTTTTCCTGAGAATGTCACGCAATGGTAAAAACATCATTATGGTCGTGAAACAAAAAGTGAGTCATTTGCATCCTGTCGCGGTCGAGTGAACATCTTTGTGGCAGCGAGAAATTTTTAACGCTCGCCATCCCCAGCTCGAAGCGTTGCTTCTAAGTTATCGCGAACTAAATTTCAGAGGAATGAAATCAAATGCTCCTACGTCGTGAGACCACTAGGAAAAGAGTACCCTCTCGATACCGTTCGTGTTATAAGTCACCTTCTGAATAACTCATCAAAATATCTTCGTTCTTGCAAAATTTTACAAATTTAACAGGTTCTTAAGGACGAATTCAACCCTCCGTCGTTGACGAAACGTCGTTTTAAGGTAAGCTCTGAAATAATTAATTAAACCAAGTGGATTTTTGTCTCACCCACTCGCAGTGT